TATAAGAGATAATAACTCCAGTGCAACATAAGATTTAAACCTGGAGTGGCTACCCCAGAAGGCTCCATGGAATGCTAGACAAAAAACCTCAAGAACTCCGGCCAAAAGAAACGCTTGATGCTGTCCTATGGAAACACTGTGCTTACATCCTATTTCCCTCTAAAGACTAGTGGCATGTGTGACCTAATAGTCTTGTGAGTCTGTTTAGTTAAACCTAAAAGGACTCCTGAAGTACATGTATTTCAGGTGAGCTCTTGCAGTAATACCTACCTCGCCTACTTCAATGAGGGTTAGAAGCCTGAATGAGATAGTGAAAATGAAACACTATATAAATGGCAAAGCACTATCTAAATATATTTACTATTATTAAAAATACAAAAATATATAATTAGGTTCATTTTCATCACTAAAACTAATGGTGAAGGTCACAATAGCCTAGCTGGAAACATTCTCCTTTGGCTTGAATACAGCTCTGCAGAGGTCAGGTGATAAAGGATTGGGAACGGGCATACCCAGCACAAAAGTGAGCCATAAAATCCTGCCCATTGCAGGGGCTCAACTAAACTCTAATTAAGTAGCAATAAGCACCTGCAATGGAGACTGAGCTTGGTCACCGTGTGGCTACAGGAAAAAGGCTGTGTTTCAGAGAAAAGCAAAGGGGCTAGCTAACACCTTCTTTCTGGCTCTCTTTTGCTCACAAAGAAATTGTGAAAGCCCCACCTATCCAGGACTTGCCAGAGGTTCTACAGCCCGCCCTGAAGGCTGCTCTTTGTGACAAGAATGCCAATGTGCGGATGGCAGCGGCAGTATGCCAGTATGCCGTACAGTCACATAATCCCCTTGCCCGGGACATCATGCAGACTGCCCTTTTGAAGGGTGAGTAACTTCTTGTTATGACCTGGAAATTTGGGGATAAAGAGAGGGCATCTCACTATCAGCTTTTCCTCATCCTTTCTTCTCTACCATCATGCTCTGTGATGTCTACTGTACTGGGTTTGGGTTTATGTTAGAATATTCAGAGATTTGTTCTTCCTAGGTACTTTTACAAAGTGGGAGCACTGCCACCTAGTGGTACCTGGGCTAAACATTTCATCAGTACATTTGCCTAGAAAACATGCCCCCATTTTCACTCAACCAGATTTTCAATTGAAAAGATGATGTGTAACAATATGAAAGAATACAATCTGAAAGTTTAAAAATTACCATTTGAACACATCATGCTTCCATCTTTGCATATTAACTTACAGGCATTGTCTACATGCATTGTTGGAGTAATACAAGCAAAAAGGTTCAGTCCAGTGATAGGCCCAAGGTGCCGAACTGCTCCGTCTGAAAGATGTGCCTATTCCTTGTCTGGATGCAGCTGTGGGGAGGAGGGAGTGAGGACAACTGGCTGACTGGTTTAGAGGCACTCAACAACTTAATTCCTCTGTCTTAAGAAAGCCTCCACTCCAGACTTCCCAATCTCTCTCTTTCTCACTCAAGCCAGAGTGCCTTATTGCTATTAGCTAACAAAAATATTTTAGGATCTGATTTTTCAGGTTAAGATTTTCAGTCTATATTTAGACTTGATACAATCCAGTTAAATATGGTTTAAATAAGGGACTGAATTTCTAGACTGGGAGGGCACAGGAGAGTGAGGTATCAAAGCTGTCCTCTCTGTGGGGAGAACACACAGCCATTCTGGACTCCTTTATTCACCCCACTGTGGCAGGTAATAGCGTGGACAGCTGGGCTGCAGCTCAGTGCCTGGCTCTGGAAGGTGCTGCCACTTATCCTGTGATTAAGAGGATCCTCCATCAGCTGTTTACCAGGAAGGATGAGGACACCGAGCACCAGTCTTGTATGCTCCTGAGCCATCTCAATGGGAAGACAGTATGTGCCCATTACAGGGTCAGAGAAAGAAATCAAGTTTTGGGAGAACAATTGGGTCTTTGAGGTCAGTGCATGTAAGGAACTGAAAATGCAAGTGATTGGATAGGATGAACTCCAGCACAGGTAAAACTGGGCTAAGTGTGGGTGAACTGGGGTGTATACAGGGAAAAGTGACAGCAGCTGATTGAGAAAGGTGGGAGTGGGCTGCAGATGGTTTCTAACTATACAAGAAGAGTTGTGCTGTGTAGAATTTGCTTCTACTAGAGGTTAACCATTGAAAACTGCACAGACCTACAACTGGGTTTACCTTTAGTAGAAATGTGAAACTCACAGATTGAGGCATGTACAACTCATTTTAGCGGGAAAGATAGTTAAAGATAGTTAGAGGAAGGTCCCAGGAATTTCCATTCAGATTACTAAATATGTATTTTGTTCCCTGATTTATGATCCCAGAAGTCAGCTGGCTTGGATGGAAGAGTACCCCGTATCTTGTAAATCCATTCTTTCCTTTGCTAGCATCCTATTGGGGGTGGGCATCTCATGTGTTTGTGACATTAATTATGCTGGATGCCATGTTAGTTTGTAACTTCTTCAAGGTTCTGACATCTCTAACAGTGATCATGAATAGCCATACCGAATAACCAAAAAAGTCTTCCATTTCCTCAGACCCTGATACACACCATGCTTGCTGTGGAGCTGAACAGCCACCAGTGGAAAGACCGGATTGTGGCCTGCCGGGTTCTCTCCCGGATTGGTGGAAATGTCAGTTTGGTAAGCCTTCTTCTCTTTCTGTTTCCAGGACAGAAAGCCTAAGCAAAACCAGGCTAGGGACCTCTTCCACTTTTACTGTTACTTAGTGTCCCATTCTTACCAAACAGATGTCTGTCCCTACATTGCTACCTCTTACTCTTAACCCAGAATTCTCTCCAAATGCCAGCATATTCTTGTTAAGTAAGCCACTGCTTCCCAGCATGGTAGCAGCTCACAAACTGCTTATAACCTACCTACAATGAAATAAGCAAGAAAAAAAGATAAGGTTTAGAAACCTTTACAGTAATCTGACACTGCCTCAACATCAAGGTACTTTATAAGTATCAGTCAACACAGTCCCTTCTTTCAGAAACCTGACATTAGAGTTGAAGTAACAAGGCTAACGTACACAAGTGATTCAAGAACAAGTGATAAAACCAAGGTACCCTCTTAAAACTTTTCAGAGGCTATAGTGTGGGCTGAACTTATCACTTAAAAATCCCGTGAAGGAGCATGGGACAGCTGAACAAGACTTAGAGCTGAAAAAAGACCTCCAGGCAAGGGAAGCCCTGACCACCACTTAGGCTTGCACCTGGTCTCTTTCTTGCTATAATTTTAAAATCATCTCCAGCTGTGCAAATGAGATTTTTCCCCTTCTCCCTGTGCACCATTATCTTTTCCTTATAACACCAAGTAACTCGAGAATGGCTCGGAACACTGCCATTCTCATGAGAAGTGAGCACCCTCCACTCTTTGACCCTCACATTTCGATGTGGAAAGCATACCATCTGACCATTCAGTATGATCACCTGAAGACATTTTAGTCTGGATTAATTCCATCTTGGCTGCCACAGTAGTGCCCTGTTGATAAAATCCTGCCCCAATAGCACAGGTATCACCTGGGAGCTTGCTGGAAGTGCAAAATCTCACCCCAGATCAATTCAATCAGAACCTGCATTTAACAACATCATTTAACAACATCTGATTTATTTGCACATTCATCTCCTTAGCACTTGTCACTCAGAATGGCCAACTGAAAGTAAAAAGCCATGTAGAGTAAGCAGGGGATGGGGTAAAGATGAGAACTTCAAGTCAGACTGCTGGGATTAAGCAGTTCTTTCACACATTCAGTTAGAAAGCAGTTTCTGACCAATCCTACAAGCTAGGCAACATGCTAGTATTGGGGATGCAAAGATAATGTGTCTTCTCTTGGTAAATGTTATACATAAAGAGCTATAACAGAAGTAGATGTAAAGTATTATGGGGATTTCCGATTGCTTACAGAAGGCAGAGGAGAGTTCACTGAGGAGATGCTTTTTGAGCTCAATCCTAAAAGAATAGAAAAACATCAGGTACCAGATAGGGGTGGAAAAGGGAGATGTTTCAGGCAGGGAGAATAGCTTTGGGCACATTACACAATCATCAACTGGTAATCTTCATCCCTTTCCCTTTGAGAGAAGTCCCAACACATAGGGTGGCCAACTGTCCTAGTTTATCCAGCACATAGGATATTTAGTATTAAATCCAGGAAAGTCTGAGGCAAAGCTGGATGGGTTGGTTACCCTTCAAATTTTAAGTCTCTCAATATAGTATAGTAGTTCAAAACATGAGCTTCAAAAACAGGCCTGGGTCTGAGTCCTGGCTCCAGCACTAAGCAGGTTAACCTTGGGCAAGAAATCTAAGCCTCTATTTTTGTCACCTTTAAATGGTAATAACTGCCTTACTGGATCGTTTGGGAGGATTTAAGTGATGGGTAAAAACACTTAGCACAGTGCCAAGTACAAAACTGTCATTCAATCAATGGTAGCTAATTATGACACTTATTTATAGGATATGAAACGTAAGTTGATCCAGCTGATGTTGAGTGACTGGAATAAGAAAGTGAGACAAGCAGCTGCCCGGGCTCTGGGGCAAATGAGCCTTGGGAAAGAAGTGCATGACACAATCAGGTAGCACCTCATCGACCTGGAGGGAGAACCTCTTCTATTCACTGTTCAGGGAACCTGGGATCCAGCCAGTGTTTGTTGAGCTGCTCTGTATGCTCAGCATTGTACTAGATCCCATTGTAGGATTTTTTTCTTTCAATAAAATAAAAAGTTAACAGTCCCTACAAACACTAACAATGTGGCTAAGGAAAGAATCATTCACTGAGTACCCACTAGGTGTTAGGCAGTTTTAATGTTTGAGAGAGCTCAGATGTATCACTGACTATACAGGCAGGGTTTACAATGCCTAGTAAGGTCAATTTTCATGAAGGATGGATACCACAACATAGGCAAGAGAAGAAAAGACATTCTATACTGGGAGCCAAATACAGAAATGAAGATGGCACATGTGAAAGCAAGTGGGGAAGAGAACTTGACTATATCAAGAAGTGCATGTTTAAAGTTTCCTTTATTCAGTCATCCAACATAATTTAGTGCCTAATGTATGTTAGGTAATAGGGATTCAAGTAAATAAACAGTTGAGGTCTCTACCCAGTGAAACAACCTAATGGGCATAAGGCTGACTAGGAAAGGGTGGGAATGGATAATAGAGTGCCTACAGAAGTTGGATTCCATCCTGAGGACACTGGGTGGGTGGGGGGGCATCAAAAGTTTAAGGAGGGAAAATAACAGCACCTGTGCTTTACAGAGTCAAGCTGGGGCAAGGAAATCCCCACGAGCGTGTGGAAGCCCTCTCCCTGATTCGTGGGCTCAAACTCATGACCGCCAAGCTTCTCCCCAGCTTCCTGAACTGCTTCTCTGATGACTTCATGGCAGTTCGGCGGGCAGCTTGTTTGGCAGCCGGTGCCCTGCAGATCCGTGATAAGATGGTGAGTCAAGGAAACATGTACCCACCTTACCTGATTAACCCAAGGGGGCATTACCCTGTGCTTCCCTTCTACCCAGTACACTCAGCATTCTGTGGGGACACAGAATGAGAGATCAGAACCAAGAAGGTGAGGGGATTACGTAGACCACATCAACAGGTAGGACCACATTTAGCTCCAAGCCAGCCCAGACTTCACTCTAACACACCCCTGAATCCCGTTCTCACCTCAGTTAACTAGCTCATTACATGGGTGCTGAGAGGCTTCAGGACCAACTCCAGTTAATGGAGTTATAATTTCTAGTCACTAGTGGAAACCTGATGGAGGTGTTCAAAAGAAGCCTGTATGACCATAGATCTGAACTGAGAAAAATCAATCTACAGATACGAGATAAAACACCATGTGGGTAGGCTAGTACTTCAGGCTCCAGCTCATTGGTCACTAGATTTGATAGAAGGTCACTTTTTTAGTTAAAGCACATTTTAGAGACAAGAGGGGTCCCTGTCCTGGTTCATTCTTGCTCTGATTCTCTGCACTCAACACTGCTTTTTATCCATCCCAGGTCCTTGAATGCCTTCTGAATCTGACAGAGAGAGATCCCTACTGGAAAATCAAGGCCTTTGCCATTCGAGGTATTACAGGAGTGGCCCCAGCTCTCAATGTCTAATACTTTCCCATATGTTAGTAGAGATGACCCCCAGAATCTCTCCAGGAAGAGGACAGAGTGCAGGGGAGGGGATGATCACAGCTTCTCAGAAGTTCCTTGCCCCAGAAATTAAAGATTATTTTCTTCTTTTTAATTTGTAGTTAAGGATCCCGAGTCTAGGACTATGTAAAACTTGTTAAGGCAAAGAGCTGACAGGACAGTCCCTGGCCAATAGAATTAGGTATGAGTTCCAGGTAGGTATCCATGGTTGGATACGCTTGCTTTCTCTGGAAGTTTCAAACATAGGTCAGACCAGATTCAAGACTGCTACAAACCTAAAATCCTGCCCTCAAATTTTCCTAGTTTCTTTTTAGGGATCTTTGACATTGCATCTCTCTGACAGCCTGGCAGGTCCCCATAAGAATCAGCCCTGGGTAAACCTGTGAAGTAATTGTGCCTTCTTTCCCCATTACCCTGCCTTGGCTAGCCAGGTCTTCTGAGTTATCTATCCTGTATCTCATCCCTAGATAAATAGGTAAATTAATGTATTCTCACATCCTAATGGACACCCCCCTCCTAGGAATCCTTTGGAGATAATGTCCAGCTCTAACCCATCCGTAAGATTCTAATGGTGACATCATCTAAAAGGGAAGATACAGACAAAATACTTAGTTTAGCATTTGCAATATTTAATTTAGTAAGTGGTTGCCTATACTTTATTATTATTATTTATTAATAAGGCTGTTTCTGGATGCTAGGATATAGCCAACTCAGTCTTAAGTGACAGTGAATCATGCTGTCCTCTACTCTCTGCAGCTTTGGGACAAATTGGCCAAGTGAGCCCCCAGCTGACAGACCTCCTGCTCTGGGCTATCCACTATGAAAAATCACCAGGTGTACGACTTGAAGCCTGCCGTAGCATCCAAGCCCTCAAACTTCAAGGACACCGGGTCCGGGACACTTTCCTAGACGTGCTACTCTTAGAGGACCACGAAGCTGTTCTAAAGTAAGCACTAACACTCTGGTTCCTGCCATGATCTCCTGGACTGCCAATTCTCCCAACCCACAGAGCATGCCCGTGCTTCTCCAGGCTGCTTAACGGCTGTAAAAAGCACAGGCTCAACCGTGCTATTCATCTGTTTACTTAGGCAGGTAACAGGAAAACTGGCCTGAATTAGATCGAAAGTCAAGCTTGTGTAGTTTGCATACTTGTTGACCATCCTCGGTGGGTTTTTTTAATTCAACTAACATTTATCAAGTGCCTACTTAGTGACAACAGGCTTTGGAATCAAAACGACCAGGGCTTGAACCCCAGCTCAGATATGTGCTAACTATGTGAGTCTGGGTAAGTTACTTAAATTCTCTGAGCCCATTTTGTCATGTATCAAATGCAGATGGTAGTCTACCTTACAGGTCTCTGGTGATGATTAATGAGATAACATATTAGAACCTATCATAAAGGTGTTCAATAAATAATATCTATGTCATCTTCAAATATATCATCTCAAAAACTATGTAACAGCCCTACAAGCAAGCATCATACCATATTTGCAAATAAAGTTCAGTAAAACCGGAATTTAGGATTCTTGTCTGATTCCAAGCCCTGTATTTTCCACCTACGTGCTTTTTTTTAAGGATAGGAAGAACAATCTAAGAAGTCCTTCTTACCTTTCAGAGAAATTCACCATACAATGAAGATACTCAACTTAGAAAATGAAGGAAACCAAGAAATGCTTCAGAAGATCAAGAACAAGGTAGATAAGTACAAGCTGTTTTCAAGAAAAAATTCAGGGCTCTCAAGAGTTCCTCACCCCCTTTTCCCCATCACAGAAATACTTTCTACAGCCCCAAAGATACCGTATCACTTGAAGATACAAAACACATCTCTGCAGGATAAGATTATAAAATCCTATTAGTAAAAAGACAAAACAAAACAAAAATCCCGTTAGTCCTATCAAGTAACCCTCAAAATCAGAGTTTGTTGTTTCTGAAATATTGTTCCCCCCTCCCCAATCATCTAAATCTAAGTTCTTTCTATTTTGCAGACAGGTATAAAGAAGAATTGAGGGATTGGAGCTGGCCCCCTAGGTTTTCCCTTTCCTTTCCTTCTAAACTTTCCTTAATTCTTCATCTGGGCTCTTTCACCAAAGGAATTCTATCTAACAGGTGGTTCTAATTTTTCAAAGCTGTTAAAGGAGATGAAGGAATAGAGGGAAAAGGGACTTCAAAAAGGTAAAAGATTCTCTCTTCATATTAATTCACAAAACCAGCTTCACACCAAGCAAACACTTCTTAGCAGGTTCCTTTCATCATGCCCAAAAAGCTAAAATAAATCTTTCATTAACAGGTGTGAAAAAGGTCCCACCAGTATCACAAGAGAACAATGTTCTCAGGCATTTATATACCACCTAATATTAATAAGCATGATGCAGTATGTACTTTATTGATGCTTTTTGATAATTTGCAGCCTAGTAGTTTTTTTTTTTTAACATCATTTGCCCTGATCTAGATTCAAACACTGAGTCAAAAGGAATTGTTGGTACAAAAAATATTCAAGGTTGAGACAGTCATAAGAAAAGTGAAGGAGGAAGCAAAACGTGTTTACTTGGAACCCAAAGAAGGGCAAAAATCATTGAAACTCCATACTTTTCTCCAAGAAATTTTTCAAGGTAGGTTTTCTAGGGGTGAGTCCTATGCCTTGACTCCTTTAATAAGCCTTTTCCAGGATTGGATGTTTGTGAACTTACTTGTGAGACCCCCAGGATGAGAGTCAGGAAAGGATGCTTCCTTTTCTTCTTGGACACCATCCCCTCAGGTCTTCTGTTATCTTTTCCCTGCTCTCCCCCCAGGCTTTTATTTGCTATCTGTCCCTTAAAAAAAATGAATGACATAGCTCTATCTGAACCAATTTGAAAGTCAGGTCAAAAAAAGGACAACTTAGAAAAACATGAGTAAAAAACAAAACAAAAAACTGTCATGTGTATGTCTGATTAAGGTCTCAAAAAAGAAATCCTGAAGATAAATAGGGGTGTGACCTCTGGAAAGTCAGATTGGAGGGAGAGCTACCGTTTTTTACTTTATGTACATCTATGCTTTTGCACCTTTTAAAAAAAGGCTCCATTAAGTTCACAACCTTTTATAACTGAACCTATCCATTATAGTGAGAGGATCTTAAAAGTTCCAGATACAACCTAAGTGATGAAGTGCAGACATCAAGCTGTACCAAAACATACTTACAAAATCAGTGTGCCCAGGCGTAGCAGCAGCCTCAGGTCATTCAGCCAGCTGCCTACCAGCCACCACCCCAAACCCAGGTCTTCTGGTTCCAAGTCCAGTGCTCTCTCTGGTACACCAGGCTCTTTTCCACCAACCATGAGAATATTCACTTGCCAGATTTGGGGAAGTTTCTTCCAACTGCCAGAAAAAAATGAGAGCGGAAAGTAACTTGAACACCAGCTTTCCCTCATGGCCAGCTTGCTACAAGTTGGCTGACTGAGGCCTATGTTAGCACAACGAGATGACATGCTGCCTCTCTGGGAGCAATGCCAGCCACTGATGCAAGCAAGCACTGCGCAAAATCTTAATATACTCTTAAAAACGTAATATACTCATAACTTTTCTAATAGGATTGTGCTGTTTGGGGTTCAAGTAGCATGATTAAAATGAATAAATTACCCCCAAAGTGGCAGAGTTGGCCCCAGTCCTACAACCTCCCCAGGTTACCTTTCATGTCAGCCACTGTAGATTTTCCCTGTCTACCTCCCTCCTCCCACATTCCTTCAAACCATGCCATGTAATAATCTTGCCTAAGAAAAGGAAAATATTCTTTGGCACTTTAATAACTTTTCTAACATTCACACAAACTCACAGTAACAAACAGGATACTGACTCAAACCCTCCCCCAAAACTGATGAAAAAGAACTCAAATGAAGGATGCAAATTCCAAATAAAAACTTCTAATGTCTCAAGCAGACTAACACAGCAAATGCTACACAGTATACTAAAGCCTAAGGGTGAAGTCGGTACTCTGAAATGATCTAGAGTCAAAGTTACTTCTGCAGAAATAGCTCCGTTTTCCACCTCCAACTTTGGCTTTTTTACTTTTGTGCCTAGACGAGGTGGTGGTTCCAGGAAGACCGTCTGAGTTCTGTGACACTGAAGCAGTCATAAAGGTAAATGTAAGCACACTGATGGTTATCAAGGTAAGAACATGAGTTTTTACCCCCAAAAAGGTGGTGGCGGTGGTAGGAGAGGATCACTCCCATCTTGTTACCAGTAATTGACACAAGACTAGTTCAGGTTAGAGGCATCTTGGTGAGCAACAGCCCCTTATCATATAACACAGTTGCCAAGGAAAGCTGGTCCTCCACACTGTCACAGGGCAAGTCTCCTACTCTGACAAACTCTGGGTAAGAGCGGAGCAAGAGTTCCATGGCATCTGCTTGCTGGGGGTATATCTCCAAGCACTTGGGCTCTTCTAGATGATAAACCCGGGAGTTTTCCACTGTATAATAGAGAAACAAATGGCCTCCTTCACCCACCAGCCGAGCTATACCATCCTGAAGCATGTGCACTTCTGTTTCTGTGGTCAACTGGGCCCCCACGTTTACAGGTTCTCCAGCCTCCCAGCGAACTGGAAGCCCATAAACACTTAGTGCCCTCTCCCTATCAGTCAACACAGGGGGCAGAGAATCGTGGATGAAGTCTTTGGCTCGCTGGTCAGCCACAGCATCGACAGGGGCAAAATGTCCCAAGCGGGCAACCAAGACCCGCACCTTCTCCATGAAAGCCGTTCTCCGCGGATCCTTAGAATCCGAATGCTGGGCCCCCATGTAATCCATGAAGTCTCGGGGCAGTCCCCTACGAAACTCCACATTTTCCTCCATTGCAGCCTGCACTGCCAGAGGCAGTACGGCCTCCAGGAAGTCGCCCCAGGTATTGCGCTGGTATGTGGACAAGGTCAGGTGCAGAGAATGCACTCCGTCCTGGCATTCTGCTTGATGAATGAAACCTCGAGGAAAATAGAGCAGATCTCCCGGTTCCAGCACCGTCTGCAGCACCGGCTCACCGAGGTCGTCCTGGCTGAAGTTGGGGCTGGATGTCAGGGCCAGTTCCTCAGTCGGGACCCGGGGTCGGTAGACCCGCCAGAGCTTCCTACCTTCCAGTTGCAGCACGAAAGCCTCGATGTCGTCGTAGTGAGGGGCAAAGCCCTGCGAGTTGGGTGGCGTGAGGTAAACGTTGGAACCTGCCATGCTCCCAAACTGCTCCTGGAGTACAGCCAAAAACTGCCACACGGTGGTCGAGAAAGCCTGCGGACAGAGGAGGCGCAGGGAGCAGCCGGCCTGGTACAGGGACCACGCGGCGGCAGGCAGGGCGCGGCCGGGCGGGTTCAAGGTCTCGCGCCGCCCGTTGACATAGCGCGCGGCGTCCAGGTGCTGGCCGAACTGCACCTCCTCGTTGCGCAGCATGGAGTCTAGGTCGGCGGTGGAGAAAAGGACCCTGGTAGTAGGTGTGGTCCTGCCGCCGCACCAGC